AATTTTTTTTTTTTTTTTTTTTTTGGTGGGGTGGGACTACTGGGAATTGAACCCAGGGCCTCACAGATGCTGGGCTGTGCTCTACAACTGGGCTGTATCTCTAGCCCATTTTTCGAGACAGAATCTCACTAAATCGTCTCTTACGTCGCTCAGGCTCAGTCCTCATGGAGGGCTGGGATGACAGGCGTGAGTTTTGCTGTGATATTGTAACCTAACATGTCATCTATGCTGTTTCTGACCCTATAATATTCTTCATAGCTTTCCAGATGCTGGGCTGTGCTCTACAACTGGGCTGTATCTCTAGCCCATTTTTCGAGACAGAATCTCACTAAATCGTCTCTTACGTCGCTCAGGCTCAGTCCTCATGGAGGGCTGGGATGACAGGCGTGAGTTTTGCTGTGATATTGTAACCTAACATGTCATCTATGCTGTTTCTGACCCTATAATATTCTTCATAGCTTTCTTTTTTCAAAAAAAATTTGTGGCACTAGGGATCAAACCCGGGGCCCGCACATGCTAGGCAAGCACGATCCTCCTGAACTGCAGCCTCAGCCCTTTTTCTTTTGAGGCAGGGTCAGTTGGCCCGGGGGACCTTGACCTTGTGATCCCCTTGTCTCAGCCCACCCCCTTTTGTAATTTTTATTTCTGGAAAACCACTCAGTCTAGGCCCAGGTATTTAGCTGTACTGTGTCTTGACTTTTCTTTGAATAGGATTTGAGTAGAAATTTCTCTAAAGGTGATACCCAAATGGCCAAGGAGTACCTGAAAAGATGCCCCACACAGTGCTCCGACATCATCGGGGAAGGGGAATCAGAACCACAATGAGATACCACTTCCCTCCTGTCTATGTAAACACAAAACCAAACCCAGAAAACAGCAAACATTTGCGGGAGGTGTAGATACCAGAATTCCTTGTCAACTGCCAGCCGGGATGTAAAGTGGCACAGCTGACAAGGAAAACAGTCTTAGAGTTCTGTAAAAAATTTTAAGCAAATTTACAGAATTTCAAGTAATTTATGGAATTCCCATATGATCCAGCAATTCCACTCCTGCAAACGCATCCGTAAGATTTGAAAACACAGTATCTGTACCTCCTATTTCCGCATTACTCACAACAGCCCACAGTAGAAGCACCGTGTGTGCCCATCCGTGACAGAGTGGCTAAACAGAGGGTGGGGTCGTACAAACCATGGGAAATGCTACTCAGCCTTTGAAGAAAATGAAGACACGCTTTCACCGGGATGATCCTTTAAAACACCATGCAAAGCGAAACGAGCCTAAGACAGTAACTGACCACAAACTATCAATACTGTGTGATTCTTTCATAAAGACTGCTAAGAACAGACAACTTCAGAGAGACAGAAAGGAGAGTGGAGGTCTCCAAAGGATGGGGAAAGGAGAAACGGGGAGTTGGTGCTCAATGTGTAAGGAGCATCAGTTGTGGAAGATGAAAAGTATTCCGGGGGTGGAAGGTGGCTGTGAGCACACAACAATATACATGTACTAAATGCCACTATCTGCATGCTTAACAACGATTAAAGTGGTAACTATTATGCTGTGTATTTTCTAGCACAATTTAAAAGAGATATCGATAATCTGATTCTCTTAAAATGAACCATAAGAACCTACAATAATTATGCCTCATTTGCTCACCCTGCATTCAGTTCTCCTTTATGTACCCTTACTTAAAAATTCTAGGGTATAATTTTTGAAAATCTGGATTTAAGTGCGTAAAGAGAAAAGAACCCACATCTTTAATGGTGTGCAACGTCACAGTCTCTTACCGAGGAATGTGATTTTCTTTCGTTGCCAAGACAGCAACTGTTGCTGTGGCAACCACACACACACAAAAACCGGAATACTTAATTGAAGCAAACTCCACTCACCTGCACAAAGATGCCCTTGCTCCTATACTCCTCATGGAGGCACCGAGAGAAAAAATCTACAAAAGCCTAAGAGGGTGGTGGGAGTGAGAAGGAACACGCATTACATCAATCTGTCAGATTTGCAGTCATGGAAACAAAAAATCATTACCTATTTAACACCATCACTTCTAATCATTCTTTTCATTTCAAATGCAGAAGGAATGTTTCAAACACTCCTCAAAACCTCAAGTGGTTCTTACCCGCCACTAAACGAAGTGCTATCTTAACCAAATATATTGGCCACCCCAAATTTTCATTGGACTGGAAAAGGCTCTCCTTCTCCCCCTCACCCCAGAAAATCACTTTCCAAGAAGCATTTTTGTATTATATAATAAAACATGTACTTCTACTCTTTACTTGCCACTTGAGGAGAAACATCCTATGAATCGTTCAGCCGTGTTCTAGGGGTATTTTGTTGTAGAGAGAAGAAGATGGTAAAATCCAAGAGGTGTAGAGACAGATGTGAGAGCCCATCTTCTGCTAATGCAACCTGAAGTCTAAGTGATTGTGAATGTCGTCTTCTACCTCTTCCTCAAATGAAGACTCAACCTCAGGCTGAACACGCTAGGGACTATGAGTGACTCCAGGGTCCCAGCTGGCAGAAGTCCGTGTCCAGGGGGAACATGAGGGCTGGAGCTCAGCGCTCACCTCTCACATGTGCCGTCATGTAAAGAGCGCCTGCTTCATGTTCCAGACACAGAAGGCAAGCCTTACACCACGACGGGTGCGAGGTGACGCCAAGGTTTTTCAAAAGATCAAAGTGACCGAGTATTTCTCAAGTGACAAAGACAAGCCTTTTGCTCTTTCTCCTCCACGACATATTGCAAATTCATATTATATACGAAATTTGCTTCTTTTTCCCTAAAAGCTTGCTTAATTTCAATGTCTAAATGGTCTTTTTTTTTTCCCCCTTCAGAATGTATTCCACGCCTCAGTAATGTATCTGAAGGTGATGCTATGGACCTGCGGGCAGGGTGAGATGAATTTCAATTATTATTCTAGCAGTAATGTGAGGAAGTAACAGCATTGTGGGAAATGATGACATTTCACACAGAGTTCTGGAAAATTCCTGCGACACCCTAGAAGTGACAACAGATACCCATGAGGTCTGGATAATATGGCAAAACAGTTACACTCTCGCCAGTCTCTCTTGTACCTACTGTGCACGTCTGTGCCCCGACTGGATGCGAGTCTCCCGTGCTGTGTGAGGCTGGCTCACTCCTGTGCGAAATGCCCAATCTTAGACTCGTAAGCGTCACACTCCCGTTCACTAAGCCCAGGCCAGCTCCTCAGGGAAAGCCCAAGGAGTACTTTAAAATCAGTAAACTACTGGGAGAAAAGCTCTGACACCACACACAGGTGCCCCCTTAGAAGTCTACACCTATCTGGACATCCCCGGGTGTGGGTTTCCTGAAACTCATGTTGGGTATTTTCCTTCCCTTCTGTGTCAGTGGAAAACTCCCAAGAATGGATCTTCCAGAGTCTTAAATCTGTGTCAACTGCATAGAGTGAAAATGATTCTTTTCTCTTATGCTGACATAATTTACAAAAATGTTGCCCACCTTGCTTGCAGAATAGATGGTCAGGAGTGGAACGGGGGCCAGGCCACTGGCAGAGGAGATGTTCAGAATCACTCCTTTAGACCTAAAAAGGAAAATGTACCAGGTCAACGGAGTGAAATCACGAACACGGCCTTCTGTGCTTTGCAGGTCAAGACAGACACATAATTACTTGAAACAAAGTAACATCACTGCTTGGCTAACACACATCTCTCCCTGTCTTTCATCACTGCATGTCACCCTTGGTCAGTGAGTGAGGCATAATTCAATCAACTAAAAATAGCTCTTCTGTACAATTAGCTCACTTCCCAGTCTCAGTAAACCAGTGCACCACTGGATCGGCTCCACAGTCTCCTCTAGTGAGTCTCTGATCTCTTAGGTCCTCTCTGGCAGTGGCAAAAAGGATTTTCACTTACAGGGTTGGGGGTACAGCTCAGTGGTAGAGCCGGGCTCTGTCCCCCAGCACTGCACAGCCCCCCTCCTCCCAAACTCTACTCACAGATGTCCACGCCTTTATTCTGGTGGATCATCACACCCTACCTTGCTGTACGATTTCACCATTACACTTGTAAAGACGTTTTCCCCCCAGACAAGATCGGAACATCCCAGACATTAGAGCCTACTTTTCCTCAAACTCTTATAACAAACAGGTGCTTCGCAAAAACCTCCCAGAAATGAATGAATGATCGTGCTCTAGCCTCACACTTGCCCTAGGTTGTAGATATCTGGATACCCAAGCTGACTCTAAAATTATGATGTGATAGTTCATAAAAACTCATTCTTTAGCCAAAAGGCAAAGCTCAGTCTTTTTCTGTAACTTGTATACTACTGATGTTAAGTCAGAGAGTGACCAGGAATTTCTGATTCTACTCATAAATGAAAAATAGTTGGAGAAAAGCAATGCTGTAAATACTTCGCTGTTTACAACCACGCATAAGTTAGTTAACACGTGGAACTAGGTTTTGAGAAATGTTAGATCTAACTACCAGCTTTCCCCCTCACATCCGTTTCTCCCAGAGGGGGTCCCCCACTTTCTCCCTCTTCCTACCTAAAGAGCTAGGGACCAGACCAAGGGTAAGCAAGGACTCTATCACTGAGCAACACCCCAGCAATTGGAACCACCGGCCCATCCAACATATGGGGTTCCTTTCCTTCACCCCACATTCTCTTTTATGTCTGAATTTACTTCCCCAAGGACTGTTCTTTTTTAAATATTAAAGGGGCTACTAGATCCTTTATATGTAAAATAGCAGAGGAAACATGATTAAATGGCATCTAAGTCATTTTAGATATAAATCTGAAGAGAAATAATCCCTAAAGGTCACCCACTCCATCTGCCAGCCTGTAGGCAAGATGCCACTCCAACCATCAAAGGGAAGCCCGGGTCTTCAGCTTAATGTGTGTATCCCTGGAAACAAGTTTTTACTGTTGTTGTTGTTTTTTTAAAACAGAAGTCCCTGTTGGTAAAATATACTGTTCTAAGTAGAGAAACCCATTAACATTTTGATGATAGAAATAAAACTTCAAATTTTAAAATGTTAACATTTTTAAAAAATTGAAAATGGTCAATGGATTAATTATATCATTCATGTAGTTTTCACTTTTCTCTGTCTCTTAAACAGACAAGCCTTTTCTTTCTTCTAAGGTAAGAAAGAATTTGTATCAGAAGGTAGAATCTAACCCTCTAAGTTAAAAGCTGGGGAATTAGCAATTAATATGCAGTCATTTTATTTTATTTATGTTTAAGAAATTCCTTCGATAGAAATGGAATAAAAACCACTTTTGTTACAGGAGACTTTTAATATAGCATTAACTTAGGATGTTTAAATTATCTTTATCTTTTTAGGACACTGAAAATGTTCTACAATGAAATTGTGATTGTTACACAGCTCTGTGCAACTGAACTGTGTACTTTAGACAGATTTTACAAGGTGTAAAATACATCTCGGTAACAGTGTAAAAAGAGAGAAACAAGTATTTGCGATATACTAGAAAACATCACCTTTCCGTTGGGTCAGATTCCAATCAAGTAGAAGCTAAAGAGCTCACGCAATGCAATATATTTTGCAAAGTGACCACAAATCCTGACAAGTTAATACGCCTTGCAGGTGTGGGTTTTGAGTTTAACCTGTTCTTATATAACCAGGAATTGCAATATCCTCACTCATACAGAGCAAGTAAAGAGAAAGCCAGGTGAAGTAGATGGAAGATGATGTTTTTCAATGAGAGCACAGCCTATGAGTGCCAGTTTTATCAGCTGGGTTCTGGGCTCCATTACACTCAAACTAGCTGCGGTGGTTGTGTGTGCCCCTGAACAAAGACCCTGCATGTTTTATTTCATCTCTCACAAATGCAGTGCAATTTAAAACTCCTTAAAGGTTAAAGTTTCACCTTATCAAATACTTTTTAAAAATTAAATCTTGAACTCATCAAACTGACTCTTAAAACTTCACTCCCCAGAGCCATGATTTCAACAGAGGAAAAGTCATTTAAGATAATAAAAGCTTCTTTCCCACTAAAAACAAACTAGCATCAATAATCCAGTACGTCACAATTATGCTCCCTCACTTGTTTATTCCTTGAGGCAGTGAAGATCTTTGTTACTCGCATACACTACTCTAATTTATCATTTCTAGGGGATAGAGCTCTATTTTAGGTGAGTAGAAAGCCAGAATTTGAAGAGTACTTTATCAAAAACAGTATTTGCATTGTAAAATACATTCCAACAAATTTAAGACTAAGTGCTATATAAAGCGAGAATACATTAGACCTAAGTAAATAAAAGGACAGCATTTAAAACCTGACAGTGGAGACAGCAACCCATCTACAAGTCTCTGTCCTCCCGTCAGGCACACACACTTGTCTAAGAAAAGCCTTCCCAGGCTTACACACACAACAGCACACAGTTCATTCTTTCTTTCTCTCTCCCCTCCCCACTGTCCCTCTCTCTTTTCCCATTCTCCCTCTCCCAATATAACACTCAACTTAATTTTGTCTGAATCACCAGTGACTCACTGGTGCAGGCTGCCTCAGCCCTCTACTATATACAGTATCTATTCTTTATGTCGAGATGGGAGGGAACGCTTGGGACTGTGAGGCACAAAGGACTCCTCGTAGATCAGCTACTTTGTCTGGCTCTAATCCTCCATCTAAGCAGAATTAGTGACGTCAAACCGGTTTCCATGGCACAGCCAGACTCACGACAACTCTGTTATATCAAGCAGAAGGATAAAATGGGCTACGCTTAATTGCACACAGAAACAAACACAAAACCTAATCCGGATTAATCTCTCACTTTCTGGGGACTGGGGAACAATTTTAAGATTCGAAGGTACATTAAGAATTTTTGTACAAGTTCTATAATGAAGATTCATGTTGCTCACACTTCAGCATACTTCCTGGCTTGTTATGACAAACATCTAAATAAACAAGCCAAGAAACATTTTCTGTGATGGAACCTTCTTAATTTACCACACCGCTCACTTGCTCACAGTCACATAATGGTGTCTGTGTACAAATGACTTCAGGATCTATTAGAACTAAAAAGCTGCAAAAATAAAGCAGAAAACACCAACTGCTGATAAGGAAGCACCTTCTCATATAAATATATTCTCTTCCATTATTAGACCTCCCACAAGCCAAACATTAGACTCACCCAAACTATAAAATTCAGTAACCTTGCATTTATAGCTTCCCATAGCTACACGCTCTAAGAGAATTCCCTCAGACTACAATTCCAGATGTGACTCGGTTACCTGGTTTAAAAAACAATCACCAAGCCTTTGTTCTACAAACGCCCCCCCATTCTAATGGATTACTGCAGTATTCTCCTCCTCCTCCACACAAATGCTACTGCTGCAGAGCAAGGACGGGTCTCCTCTGAAATGTCACCGATTTCTGCCTTCTTTGAGAAACCTCAATGCTGCCCCACAACGTAGGTGAGGAGAGAGGCGGGGAGGTGTAAATGCTGCAGCGAGAGCTGGCACCTCAGGGTCCGTCCGTGTGGACAGCTGCATACAGAGTGGAGGCAGAGGGCCAGGCCACCGTGCACGAGTCTCCACCTCACTTCTTCACGTCCAAGAAGGCACGAGCGTGCTAGTGCACGGCCGCTTGTACACATTTTAAGCATAAACGCAATACTGAAATTGGTGTAGAAAGTGCTCTAAGAGACTCGCAAAGACAAAGAAACCTATCAACACAGGATTCTATGTCAGAAAAGAATCCTGGAACACAGGGGTCAGGTTTATAATTACACGCAGCAGTCCAAATACTTACATTATACAAATATGGCTTTGTGGAAGAAAGTTTGCAAACATTTAGCCCATGAAAGAGAATTACCTGCCCTAAAACACCACAACATGTCATAATTCCACCTTAAGCAATACAATATGAAAGAGGCTATTTTTAGCTTTTCCATGGTTGTTATGGCAACCACCTCCTGGCTCCAGCTGTACACAATGTTTATAATTCCAGGGAAGTAAAAGGGCAAGTTTCCTCTATAATGTAATTATACTCTTTCTACTTCTATGATAATAATACTTAGTTTGATTATAGATACTTGTTTAGCGATAGTCGGTTGGCCCTAGGCTATAGTTCTAGAGGGTTTGGAAAATCTCATACATCAGAGGTAGAATCAGGGGAAGGAAAAAAACAAAAACATAAGTAACAAAGGATGTTTCTAAAGCACACTGCTGTTACTCAGTAGAGACATCAATCCTACGAAAATCAACAGCAGAAATGGGCCACTTTGGGGTGGTGTAAAGAGTACCCTGTCATGAAACCACTTATAATGTGTAACTAAGACCGCGTTCAGGAGACCCGTCCACTTGAGAGTTTTTCTTTCCTCCTGGGAAATCACCAACATTTCTGGTCTCCCTTGCAGTTCACTGTAGCCTGTGGCAGACTAAGTTCCAGACGATGGGATAGGAGCAGGGCAAGGGACGGACGCTGCTGCCGGGGCTGACCCATGACGCCCCTGAAACCATTCCCATTCTGTCTTCCCTCGTTTCCTAGCTGGATACAGCGAACAACTCCAACCAAGACCCTAAAAAAAAAAAAAAAGCAAAAGAAAGCCCCAGGTGGAAGCAGCCACAGTTTCCTGAATGACAAGGTAGAGATGCAAGGGAAAAGTAAACTTTGACCACGTTGACTTATTGAGATGCGCGGTAACCTGTGACGCAGTTAGCCTATGCTGACCACTGCACCTTAAATTCAAGTCAACATAGACGTTCCCCTAACCAAAAGGGCTGATTCATAAAATCCATGTACATGTCCACCAGTCCTTGGAAGGTGCAAGAATCACTTCCCTGAGGTCAGTTTCAGCCCACAGCCTCCGATGGTTTTCCCCAGGTCACTTCTCTTAAAGATCTCTTAACGACAAGGATCCAACTCACCTCCTGAACACTCCAGAATAAACAGGACGCAGTCACGACCTATTAAGTGCATTCTTTGCACTGTTTTTAATGGATGCTCTTACTGGGACTGTGGCTGGCAGGTCTGTTCCTGTATCTTTACATTTGCACTCTTAACTGACTTAGTGTAGCACTCCATCTCTTTGGACTTCAATTTTGTCACCTGTCAAATGAGGGGAAAGCTTTCCCATAACCTAGAGCACTAGATGTCTACATCTCTTTGAATCCAGTACTTCATGCTCTTCAAAATGATTCTACACCTTCACTTTTTTATGGTTTTCACCAATAATACACTTGAGAATTTCCATTGCAGCACCTCTGTGGTTTATAAATATTTGGGATTCCCCTCCCCATCAGATCCAGGGCCTCATGCATGCAAATGCTCTATCACCGAACCACCCAGCCCAGCTCAAGTTTTTCTTTTTTCCCATATGGCTTTGCTATCCTCAACAGTACGTTACTTGCAGATGTCAAAACTCGGAGTAAGACCATGGGCCAAATTTCATTCTTCCTAGGTTCTCTGCTGGTTTGACCACAGCCATTTCCATATCTGACCATCAGGACCTCCAGGACCTCATTTCCAGTATCAACCAACAATGGGCAGCTTGAAGGTTTTAAAGGGAAATTTAACGGTTCAGATAAAATGAAATTAGAAAGAACTGTGCTAAGAAAGTTTCTTGATCAGACTCTGTAGATGTTTAACAAATGGACCCCTAACCTGGGTCTCTTCATCTGCAACGATTACGCTGTGGATACAACACCCGGCACATGGAAATACTCAATAACCAAGCTATTATTTCTGCCCAGAGCTGGTCACCAATGTCTCTTAGCAGAAGCAGGGTCTCAGGTCTTCCATTTGCAAAGCTGTGATTCCTTTGGGTCTCTTCCAAACCCCAGGCTATTTTGCAGAGGAAGGAGGACAATTCAGCAAATGATCAAGTTGGCTCAAGACGCAAGCCCTGCTCTTTCCATGGATTTCCTTTGAAGGCTTAGCCATCATTCAGGTTTTTCCAAGGAAGGAACAAAGTTTACTTCTAATTTTACACTGCAACCTATTTCAAATGTAAGAACCCTACCACACATTTCTCAAGAAAAAAAAAAAAAAAAAAAAAGACCTCCGGCACACATTGGCAGTACCCAACTCAAGCTGAAGAGATGGGATCAGCGGATACTCCTTTCCTTCCAAAGGCGGATTGTAAGATCACTTTACAGCATGCCTACGTTCCTCATGCAGCCTTTCTCCCAGGAAAAACCAAACTAGCAGAGTCCGGCACCTCACAAAACTCCACTGATACAGGCTCTAAGAGGATACAGCTTTAAGAAGGCATTCCCGGGAATATCCCAGGAACTCTGGCTGCTCCCTCAGAATCACAGGCAATTGAGTTAGTAATGGTGACTCAGGCTGGCTTTTAAATCCCGATCCACAGGAACCCCCGCAACCCTAGAGAGGGAAAGAGAGAGTCAAGTGGAAAAGGCCTCCTCCACCGTGACTCATGCTCCAGTGTGTGGCTCTCCTGGCACGAAGACGTGGAGGTTAGGCTCATTAGTCATTTTAATGAAATGTTCAAAGAAAGGGTTCTCCCTGTAAATAATAATGAGCTCTGAATCCACAGTGTCTGTGTGTGAGCTCGTGACTCACCTTTCCACCATGCCAGGCAGCACCAATCTCGTCATCTGCAAGAGAAAAACAACATTGACAACGGCTGAGGACAGGCAGCAGTGAAGGAAACCCACCCACACTCAAGAGAAGGGAGTCACTAAACCACTCGCCACTCCCACCGACAGCAGTTTATTTTACGTGCACTACAATTTGGCTGCATGAGGAATGCATAAAAAGGAGCCAGATGAAATTACAGGAGATAACGTGGGAAACACTTTCAGTGGACCTGGCTAAAATTAGTAAGACCTGCAAATAATAAAAAGATTGGTGGTGCAATCTACGTCTCCCAAAATGCATTCTCAGAAAAGGACACACGTGACACAAGAAATACCTTGCCGACCAAGATTACTTAGGCTTTCTAATCTCAAGGTCTTAAAAAAATAGTAAAGCTATCGTTCACATTCATTTCTTTTGGTGAGCTAGGTAGTCATGAATAAAACTCATCCTCAAGGTTAGGATTATCTGTGGTTCTCCAATAACCAAGAATCAAAGGGTGACATGTGCGTTCATTGTTGCTGGCCAACTATACACACTGATGAGGAAGTTTACCTCTCAACTCTCTTTGAGACATTAATATTAGACAAGAAAAGCACCACGGTCATATGGCTTGGTCGAGGCGACATCACTGTTGAGTAAGGAAGTTGGTATACAAACTCCTGACTCTGGAGGATTGCTGTGAGTTCGAGACCAGCCTGGGCTACATAATGAGTTCCAGGTCAGTCTCAGCTACACAGTGAGACCCTGTCTCAAAAAACAAATAAACAACAAATTCCTGGCTACTAGATTATGTTAGTTCCCCAGGACACAGAGCCATTTTGTAATAATAAAGTTAAAGTGCATGCCAGAACAATGTCGATATATCTCTGGTGAGGAATTTTTCTCCCAGAAATATTCTAAAGAAAGAAAATGCCAATCCAGTCTTTACTCAGGCAAACTGCTACCTGGATGCTCAATGCACCTGCCAATGCGGGAGCTGTCGCATATCCTTTGCAGGGAAAACACGAGTTCACACAAAACATGAACAGATACATTGCCAGCTTCAAAGCATACATGTGCACCTTCAAACCATGGGAGATTCACGTCAACGAAAGTATACGGATTTGGTCAAATCTCGCCCAGATGATGAAAAAGGAGAAGGCTTAAGGGCAAGCCTGGCCTAAGGCTTCCCATATTGCCTTCCTTCTTACATACAACTCCGTATTCTTCTAATCAAACTCATCTTCACAGAACGACGGGGCACAAGTGCCAAGTGTCCTCCAGGATTCATTCTTTCTTCACTACACTGCAGTTGAAGCTTCATATATTTCTCTCTTTCCTACTCAAGGAGCCCCTCAACCCCAAACCACCTTTTCTATGACTTCTCTTGCAGCTGTATGTGGCCTATGATCACGTTCTATCTAATAAGACATAAAGAAACGCTGGGCGTGATGGCAGCTGCCTGTAGTCCCAGCACTCTGGGAGGCTGAGGCAGGAGGGTTGCAGGTACTCTGAGCCGAGCCTGTGGGCAACTAGTGACAACAATACCCTATCTAACTTCTAGGTCATGCCCTTAAAGATGAGGGGTGTGTGGGAACACGACCTTGTCTTCTCCTGTGCCTTTTCCTCTTTCTGTTGGCTGCAGTGTGGCTGTGATGGAAGAAGCTTATTAATCTACTCCATTCACAGGAAGGTGAAAGTCATGCAGCAACAGTGGTGAAGCAATGAGGGGGTTGAAAACAAAACCCATAATGTTGCGGAGCTACTCTGCAAAGCCTTGGCTCCCGGAGAAAGAGACCAACTTCTATTTTGCTTAAGCTGCTATTATATGTTACAGGAACTAAAGCAGTATTTTACTCCCAGTGCTGGGATTCAACCCAAGGCCTTGTGTGTGGCAGACAAACACCTGACGGCTGGGCTGCACCCCCAGCCCCTAAACCAATATTCTAACGAATACCATTGTCCGTTTGTGTTAACATTTTAAGACCAAATACACAGTCCCCAAAGCAACAGGCCTATTTCACAGTTTTAACTAAAGAGCCAACGATTTTATTTTCACATTTCACAATTCAAATGAAAACTGCACTTTCTGCCCTTTTTTGGGGGTACACTTCTCCCTGTCTAAACCATTGTCTCTTTGATAGGAAGGGGCGTAAGACTTCCTTGTCACACTGACAGAAATCACCCAGCGACACAGCACCATGATCTCCCGAAGTTGAACAGTAATATAAAACTGGTCTCAAGAGGCCGCCCCTCGGTCTTTGTCTGGCTGAGCCACTCCTGGCTGAGAGGGCACCATCTGGGTCGAGCAAGGGGTCTCATTACTGCAGGCCCAGGCATCACCCGTGTGGCCTCCATGGGTGGCCTCACTCCAGGAAGTATCTTTCCTTGTTGAAATGTAGCCCCCGAGTCCATCAGGCTCTGAGCTGGTCTTCCATTCATTTCTCATAGCAGCCTCTCACATTCTGTGTGTTTCCTATTACTAGGGGTGTCTTTCTCACAGTCAGAATGTCACGGCTGAGGTAGGTTTCACAGCAGTCACAATAAAACCCACTCAGGATTCGATGGCGTCAAACAAAACATTCTGACAAAACCCAGGCTTATTTTGTTGACCTAAATGAGGTCAGGCTCCATACTGCAAAGCGGGTGTCTGGAGCGCTCATCCTTGCCCTCGTCCAGATCCTCGCCTGTCCCTCAGGCTTCGAGAACCTGCCCCACAATCCCTCATGGGGCCACCACTACTGACTGCCACCTCTTCGGGTTTCAGGGCGCTGCTTCCGTTACACAGCGTTTCAAACACAGTCCTGCCGCGTTCCTTTTCTGGAGTTGCTGGACCCAGTTCACAGGTGGTACCGGGCTTCAAATCAAACTTTATGAAACCAAGTCAGAGAAAAGGCTGACTATAGAGTTTTAGCTTTTCAATACAGCCATCTTCTCCCTCCTCAGATTAAATAGCACCTTTTCAAATATGCTGATACATTTCCAAAGAGTTGTCTTTTCATACAGGCACGTAGCAATTGCTCAATGCATGAACACTGAATGTTTCAGGCAAGTGTGGTGTGCAGCCAGGAGTACCCTGAGCTAGTTTTCTCTTCTGTGAAGTCCTGGCATAGTGAATGAAAAAGGCAAGCATGTTATGTGTTATTGTCCTCTGATCTCAAATGACATAATACACAGGGTGATCAAAATATATGATGAATGTTTACACTTTTAAAATTTCTTACAGTAAAGCACACAATGCCATTAGTCTCCTTCAAAACACTGCCCTCACATCACACTCGCTTATCCCACTGCTCTTGCCCCTTTCTGAGCAGTTCTGGAGTCCTCTTTCACATCTTTAGGAGGTGTGATCAGAAACACAGCGAATGCTGCCGCCGAGGGCCGTCCACCGGGAAGGCAGGCTCTGAGAACAGCGCAGTGTGTCCTGGTCACCTCATTCACCAGATCTGGCACCGTGTGACATCTGGCTCTTCCCTGAGGTCACAGTGACCAGAAAGGTAAACAGTTTGAATTAGGACATCTAGGCAGCCAGGACAGTACAACCGAAGACACAAAAAAGGACGTCCAGAACTGCTTCAGAACGCGGTGAGAATGACATATGTGGTGTGTTCAAAGTGAGGGGAGGATTTTAAACATTCACTGTTATTTTTAGGTTACACTTCATGGACAGAATGGACCTAGCAGAGAGTGTATCACAGACAGGCCGCTGAAGGGGGACTCGTGTCCCTTACTGTCCTTTTTGGATGCTGGTGCTGCCTGTCAGCACAGTGTGCCCCAAACAGATTAGATCCCAGAGCAGCGACATGTGATGAGGTCAACCAGCTGACTCGCAGCACAGAAATTTCTACCAATTGTCTAAAAAATATCTTTGTTGGTTGGGATCTTCTTGGGGTGTGGACTTATTCGAAAATTAGATTGGAATGACGAATGCACAACACTGTAAGCTTTACTAAAAGTCACTGGCTCGAGCGCTTTACACAGACGATTTTATGGTATGTAAATGATCCCTCAATAACGCTGTAAAGATTTGTCAACAGACATATAAATAAGAATTTTAAAAACCGAAATCACAAAATACATTTGATATATTTTATCAAACCCAGGCGATGAGAGTACTTAAAATGCCCTGTGCACCTGCTTAGAGCCTGAGCGGCATCCTGTAATGAAGAGCCTTACTCCTGTTCCGCGGGGGCCATGCTCTGTGCCAGCACCACGGTGGATGCGGGAGCGCAGTGTCCAGTGGGAGAACAGGACACGGCTGTGCGGGACAGAGGACTCTGGTTCTTACAAGAAGGACTGGTTCTGTGTGAGAATCAGGTAAATTATGCTTTAGATTATGCTTTGGTTAGATTCTAATAAAGACACATCAGTTCTCTAGAAGAGAAGGTCCAGGAGGAGTAGAATGTAAAAGGCAGTCATAAAAATATATAATGTATAACGGAGTATTACTCTGCCATAAAGAAGGTGGGTTTCAGACATTTCTAGCTAAGCGGATGAACCTTGAGACCAGACTCTTAAGTGAAATAAATCGGACACACATCTTCAAATGCTGCACTGTTTCTCTGCTGTGAGAAACTGAAAGTGTAAATAAGGACTGAAAATATGTAATGGATGTTAGGAAATAGGAAGAAAATGTTCAAATGGGGAGGGGAACAAGGGAGGAGGGAGGAAGAAAGGAAGACACAAGAAAAAAAGTAAAAATAGAAGGAAAAAATGGAAACAAAGCTTCTGTACATGGCGGAGGGAGAGGGGGGCTTGAGGGGGGGAATGGGATAAAATAAATTTCAAAATACATATGCAACATATGGTATAGAATGAATACATTTAAAATAGTATTTGTTGGATGAATGAACATATAGAGAAGTAAAAAGTGTGTGCATCCTGTTATATATGTCCTGAAAAGTGCATCTGCATAAAATATCACAGACAGCTTTCCATGCTAGTGAGACAGACGTACATCTGGGATATTAACTGGTGGGATATTATTATAAGGGATAGACTTACACATCCTTAAGAGTACACAAAAGCTTTTTTTATT